GGCCGCGGGCGCGCAGCCCCTACACCCGTCGGTCCGTGATGTATGTGGCCAGCTTCATGAAGACGAGGACCTCGCCACCGCCCGGGTGGATGCACCAGAGCGGGGTGCCGTCGCCGTTGGGCCGCAGCACGGTGACGCGGTCGTACTCGCCGCTCTGCAGCTTCTCAATGGCCTGAGCCAGCGTCTTAATGGTGGGGTTGGTCATGGAGACGGAGACGGGGATCGACTTTGAGACGCCGAGCGCCTCCTCGAAGAAGGACTTGAGCTTTAGCAGCTCCACCGACGTCACGCCCAGGTCGAAAATGTCGTCGTTGATGCCCGGCTCGCGGTTCGTCTGGAAGTAGTCGATCAGCACCCGGTGGATCGTCTTTTCCGTCTCGCTGCCCGGCGCCTCGTAGAATTGCAGCTTGTACTCCTTGATGAGCGCGTCGTTAGCCGCCTCGCACTCGAGGTACTGTCCGGCTTCGAACGCCTTGCGCAGCTTGGCGCGCGACAGCTTGCCCAGCGATGACAGCTGCAGGTGTTGCCGCGTCAGAGGAGTGACGCGATATGGCCGCACGCTGTAGTGCTGGAACACCATCTTGATGATTTGCTCCGTGGTCTCGACACGCGCAACAATGTCGTCGTCGGCGTACGTTGGCAGATATACGACGACGACGACGACTTCGGTGTCGTGGCCCTTGGGCCGGTGCGGGAAAACGGCCGTGAAGCTGGGCGTGAGGCCGGGGATGCGAATACTTGACGCCATTGACGTTGACGCTGTCCTTGGCGCGGCCGGTGAAGTTGAGGCAGCCCTGCCCGTCGAGGTACGCCATGTCGCCTGTCTGGAACCAGCCGTCGAGGATCGACTCGTTCGTCGCCGTCGGGTTGTTGTAGCAGCCTTGGAAGACGACGGGGCCAGACACTTGCAGGAACCCCGTCTCGTTGGGGCCGAGGACTGCTCCCGTCTCTTGGTCTACAACGCGCATGTCGATGCCTGGGATGCAGTGTCCGAGCGACGCAAACTCGAGGTCGTTGGTGAGGTCGTACGACGGGCAGTTGTTGTTGTAGATAGATCCGGCGCAGGTCTCGGTCACGCCGAAGCCGGGTCTGATTAAGTCAGCCGGCGCGCCGAACTTCTTGAGCTGTAGGCTCAGGGCGGCGCACATCTCGACGACGTTGGCTTCTCCACCAGAGATGAGAGCGCGCAGTTTCGACAGATCAAACTTGTCGTCGAAGCGGAACCCGTCGGGCTGGTTGAGGGCGCGGCGGATGTTGGCGAGGAAGAAGTTGGGCGCAAAAGTGTACGCGACTCTGTTCTTGGCCAGGAGCTCGAGGAAGAAGAGCGGTTCCTTGATCATGTCGACGGCAGAGACTTGGACCTGTTCGGCTGCCATGTTCATGGCGTGGAGGTGTATTTCGGTCAGGTTTGCAACGTCTATTCAAGGTTAGTGATTTTCATTCACAGTATTGACGTGTGCCTGAAGGTCAAATCCGATCCAGTTGAGAAAAACGTCTTCCGACTTGGTGTCGTGGTGAAAGCTCTTCACCCGGATGGCCGTCAACATTTGCTCATGACGGAGCATGACTGCTTTGGAGTTGCCAGTGCTTCCCGACGTGAGCATGAGCGCAGCAAGATCGTCGGCACCCTTTGCAAGACCAGTAGCATCTTGCGCGGTCTTGTCCACGGCAAACTGGGCCAAGTCCTCCACTGGACGAAGCTTGAGGTATTCAAGGCCTACAAGTTGTCGACGAAGCGCGAGGAAGTCAACACAAGCGGATCCAGCAGCGTGTGCAAGTGATCGAGATGCCTCTTTCGCGCCTCGAGGTCGGAGACCAGCGGAGTCGAAACAGCTGGAACATAGCCGGAGTAAAACAGCCCAGAACCAGGTGATGTTGTCGTAGTGGTTGTCGAAGTGGAGCAAGAACCTGGTGTCCTTGTCGGCACCCAGGCTGAGAATAGAGGACGTCTTTTCCTGCGCTATCTCGAGGAGTTTCCGGTATGTGACGTGCTTCGACCCGGCCGAGGACTCGAACAAGATACCCCGGTCGGCGGGATACTCTGCGGCATTGACAAGAATCTGGGACAAGTTTTTGGCCAACATTTTGAGCTGGTGTTGGACGAGACGAGCGCCTGCTGTCGAAACCCCCGTACCACGGCCACTCTATTAAAACATTTCCTACCGACGAGCGACACCAAACGATTGCTGCATGCGATTATCGGCCTCCAGCACGAGTGTGGGTCTCGGCGTATTGATGGATGCCCGTATCCGGCTCGCCTGGAGGTGTTGTTGAGGTGGATCTTCCATCAAAGGCTCCACCTCATTACTAAATCACCGCTATCACGACTCGAGGACAAGGAAGTTGCAAAGATATCAGGTACTTGGCTTTCTCCTTGGCAGTAAATCCCGCCTTGGAAGTCTAAAGTCTAGGTGACTGAGCGATCAGAGCTTTCAACAACAGACAACGAAGCCTCTTCCGGACCCAAGAGCCAACCGACTCTCGGAAGCCGAGCCCTAGAGGGTTGATGAATAACAGCGTGGACGTGGGATGATGAAGTTTTGTGCGCCTGAAGATGTCGAATAACAGCGTGGACGTGGGATGATGAAGTTTTGTGCGCCTGAAGATGTCGAATACCGAAACTCGTTGTTTCGTTGGCGTCGAAATGTCGGGTGGAAAGACCTGCTGGTTGCGGTTTTTGGTGCTGTTGCTGTCCAGCAGCTATTTTTATCGAGATTGCGGCGGATACCAATGACACGGTCAACGTCTCGCCTCTTGATCATGACAAGTCGAGATTGCCGAACAGTAAGCATGGTTGCAACAGACGTTGATAGTGTACACCAGTAAAAATACTTGTTCAATGACACGCGCAGCAGGGATTTTGCCTTTCGGCAGCCGGCGTTGCGAACCACTTGCCTGGAAAAGGTTTCCATCAGCAAGTAGACAGAAACACAAATGTTCCGATGGGGTTTCCAACGACGTCACTCTCTGTTCAGTTTGAACGACAAGATGTAGCCAATCACGTTTGCTCTGGTGCATGCAACTGATCGCTATAGAACAAGCTCAACCCCAAAACCCGGCACAAACTCGTGGCTTGAACGCCTTCCCGCGAGCTTGTATCTTCGGGTGGCGTTTTTTACGAGCGTTTCAACATGGACTCTTTTAGCCACACCGTCGAGGCCTACCTCAACCCGCATACTACTGACTCACCCCTGCCATTCGTCACACTGGGAGCAGTCGACAAGTCAGGTCAGTATCTTGGCGAGATAGGGGACTGAAAAGTACAGCGCTGATTTTTGGACAGGCGCCTTTTACTACGAAAAGTTCTTTGGAAGCGATTGCAGCACTGCGGCAGGGCCGCAAGACACCAACTCCGTCCATTGGGTGGCACCCTGTTCAAAGCTGGTCACGACTATTGCCGCGCTGCAATGTGTTGAGAAGGGGGTGCTGACTCTCGATGGCTACATTGGAGACGTGCTTCCTGAATGGAAGAATCCAAAGATTTTGATTGGTTTCGAAGAGAATGGGGAGCCAATCTTGAAGCCTACGCAAAGTCACATATCGCTCGGGTACAGTATAGTGCAATGAACCCGCATATCTTTGGCGGCTATTTACAGATTCTCTAGACACATGTTGTCGCGCTCAAGCGGAATGGCGTATGCCTTTCTGGATCCATTGATGTCAAAGTATCAAGATTGGCAAGGTGCAAAGCCTAAGAGCAACCTGACCATTGTACGCACTGGCGAATGCGGTAGTGACAGAATTCCAACGGCTGACAAAGGAACTACAAAGATTCCTTCGACGAGATTCTCATTTTCGAGCCCGGAACGAGATGGAGATACTTCCCAGAAGCCGAATATGTCGGCCTGTTGGTCAGTAAGCCACGATCCCGTCCCTTGGACTCTCCAGTTAAATGATGCGCAGGTCGAACGTGTGAACGGGGGGATTAAGCTCGGCGAGTACATGCGCCGCAACATCTTCGAGCCCCTCGGCATCAAGGACATGACGTTCCATCTCGAAGACCGCGAGGACATGCGCAAGCGGTTGGCTCGCATGTGGCAGCGCACGCCCGACGGTGGCCTGCAAATGCGCAACGACTGGTTCATGCCCGACCCCGTCTTCGACGACTTTGGCGGCACTGGACTCTACGCGACTGCCCCTGAGCTGTTGAAAATTTACGCGGCACTCCTCCGTGACGACGAACGGTTGCTGAGGAAGGAGACGGTCGATCTTATGTTTACTCCGCACATACCGACGACGGTCGATTTCGACGATGCGCGCAAGGCGTCGGTATTTGTCCGCAACAGTGTTTTCAACAGCATTCCCGACGACGCGGCCGCCAACTCGGGGCTTGGTGGCGTGTTGAACACGACTGCGGTGCCGGGACGGAGAGGTGCACCTTCGCTTACCTGGTCTGGCATGAGCAATTGCTTCTGGGTTAGTATTGTTCCCTGATTCCTCTGCTTTGTTCTGACTTGCTTGTGTTAGTGGATCGACAGCAAAAGTAGAAAATTGGACGAGGGATCACTGAAAGCTACGGGTATTCTACTTGTGTGACCCCGACATGAAAAGAGTCGATGATATGTATATTATGCAGGTCTCCAAAGACGTTTAGCAATGAGAAGCGGCATTGTAGACTGAAATTTGGCAGTGATTCGGATCAAGTGTAGCGAAAAGCAGTTAGTGGAGCCAGAGAATTCCAGGGCGAAGCAGTGGAATCATCGGTGACTCTCCAGTGACCAACAAGTACCAAATTCTTCGATTATCCTCACTCCGCACCAAATGCGCAGTCATGAATCTTCTCTACCTTTACTTTGCAGGCGATACATACTCCTCGTCTTCCCCTGTCACTCCCGCGGCTGTTGCAGCGCCTCAGTCCCCCTTTTCCATCACTTGTAAAATCCAAACCCCTTGACACAATCCTTCCCAAAAATACGAGTGCTCTGCGTAGAACGCCGGAATCCTGTTGATGAGGGGGTGCCGGGGATGAGGAATTGGCCAAGAATTCAGCAAATAAAAACTACACCGGCCGAGACTTGAACTCAGGACCTTCAGTGCACAACACCACAGTCAACGCCTTATTTAGAACAAGGAGTTGGTGCTGTTTGATGTTAGACTGACGTGATGACCAACTACACCACCGGTGCTGCTTGCTTGTGAGAAGGCACAAAATTAATATATTATATTCTCAACCATCTTTTTGGTTCCCGACCCTTGTGGCCAAAACCAGAGATTTTGAGCCAGATTGCCGACTTTCTATGGCGTTTAAACATTCTGTGAACATATCAGTCGACTCTGGAAGTACTCCCTTTACAACTTTATTACATGCGCGAAAGCAAGGGGTGATGTCACAACTAGTGAACGGAAACCATATCAACACTAGAAACGATTGATTGCAACTCGAATTTATCAACACTATTTCTCGGTTCTTTGCAACGCAAGTTGTTAATAACGTGTTTTGATGGTGTCGTCTGCAGGCTTGCCTGATGGATGGGCCGGGTGGCTGGGATTGTTCGATGGTAGGAGGCATGTGCTACCTTAAACCTCAGATCGCCCCCCTTGCTCAGCGCCGAGCTTCTCTAGTTGACGCTTGTATTATGTGTGTTACTCACTCTTAATTCCATATTCTCATCGCTTAGGAGTGCGAGACTTGCAAAAAGTAAACAGAATAAAAACAAAAATTGCGATGGCATCTGTCAATGTCGTTGCCGGCGATCGTTGGGATGCGCGCTTACCCGCTCGGCTGAGAAGCTCCAATGATCCAACGCAACCACGCGGCAATCCTGCGGCCCGCTCCGCACCCAACCTCCTCTTCTATCTGGACACCGCAGTCTTCCAGCAGACTCCACTCACTCGTCTGTGACATGGCCATTCTGCGCTCCAGTGACCTCGGACGAAGCGCATTATCGCCTACCAGCTTGACCATCGATATTAATTGCGACGCATGCCAGGATTCCAAGAACACACCGAGGTGAGGACGACGCGCCTTTGTTTGCGCCGCTTGCGTGTGGAGGATGCGGAAGATGTCCATCTGATCCGGTCGCGTCTCAAGGCCATGGGTCATTCGTAAGTTTTCCACACCAGTCAGGCCTCGCGATCAAGGCGACACGCTAACGAAGCTGCAGTATTAGAGGCCCCGACACGAGCATCGAACACACGCAGAACTGGATTCGCCCCGAATCGAGCCGCTCCAACGTATACAATTTCGGCATAGTGTTCCTGGACCCAGAAGAGGACTCGCTTAGCGCTTCAAACAACTCCAACAGTCATAGAGTGATTGGCTTAGTAGGCGCAGTCGAGGCTCCAGAAATCGGCTACGTGATCCATCCAGATTTTTGGGGGCGCGGTCTGGCCACAGAAGCCCTGCAGACGTTCATGCCACTCTACTGGGAGCAATTCCGGACCGAGTTTGACTTTGCTTTTGCCAAAATAGACCCGAACAATGGTGCAAGCAAGAAGGTGTTGCTGAAATGTGGCTTCAGCCTGGAAGAGACGGAAACCATCGGCTTCGAAAAACCAAGTCTAGGCCCGAGAGATATTGATATATACCGCCTGCAGCGCCCAGGGCCCATTTGTCAATAGAGACAACTGTCTGCAACGGGACAAGGTGTTCCTGGAGGACGGTCCAGAACCTTCCGGCCAGCTCGAGTAGCACGACAGGAGTTTGATGATACGGAGTTTTGCACATGGCAAACGGCCATTCTTCCACTTGGCTGAGCCTGGCTTTCGAAACCTCGTCCCGCAAGGGTGAAGAAAACAAGCCGGCCCGCCTGTGGCGCCTGTTGGAGGCTCAAGTCATGTGATTCTGCCCTGCGTCGGTAGCAGGGTACATTGAGCCAGTTGGTGCGTCACTACGGAGGATCCAGCGTCAGCCTCGCGACGAAAGAGGCGCAGACTATGGCGGAGCGAATGATCAACCACGACTCAGCCTCATCCAGCAGTTCAACACCCATGACACTACAGATTCACGCTCTGTCCGAAGCCCTAACTACGACTTTTGAACAAATGTTCCTTCTTTGGTCGCCTGAGTTTGCCTTGGTCTGGTGGTTCTGGGTGTTGAAGCAACCCAGGCTGCACACATGTGGCCTTGAGTCTGTCCATCTGCCAACAGTGAGTCAAGCCTCAACGTCACTGCAGGAGGACTCGGCAAACACTGGCCCCTAACATGCCTTTTTCTTTGCACATGTCGAGTGAACAACGACCGTAGATCATTGGGTACTTTCGCTCAAGTTTTCCAACCTGCATTATTCACAAACTACGTTTTCTCATTTGATATAGACGCAACTTTTGCTTGGCACTCGGGGAAAGAATCACGTTGTCTTGACATCACGAGCCCTGGAGCCTTCGGCAAAGACAGGCTCCATTAAAGGTTCGAAAATTCCTCATTGACTCACCACAAATCGATCGCCCTTGAACGCCTTGATTGTCCTGGAAAGACCCCTTTTGGCGTCATCTGGACGGCCGCAAAACCTCGACGACGTATTTAAGTCTAACTGGCCCGCTTCGCAACGAATCGTCATGCACCCGCCACAAACAGAGATGGAAGGATCAAAACCCAACCCTCGCGCCCCGCTCCGGCTTCTCTCGCTCGACGGCGGAGGAGTTCGGGGCCTGTCCAGCCTCATGGTCCTGGACGACTTGATGGAGAACATTGCGCTCGAAGAGAAGAGACTGGGCTTGCGTCAGACCAACGACAACGCACCGCTCAAGCCCTGCGATTATTTCGACCTCATTGGCGGTACCAGCACAGGCGGAATCATTGCCATCCTACTTGGACGACTGCAGCTGGACATCAAGACCTGCCTCAAGATTTACACCGAACTCGCAGAACAGATTTTCAAAAATGACAGGTCCTTCAATTTTGCTGGAATGAAGGTCCCTGTCGGCAAGACTCGTTTCTCTGGTGCAGTTCTCGAAAATGCCATCAAAAAAGCACTCGTCACTATTGGTTACGACGAGAACGAGCTCATGTGGGACGATTCCTTGTTCGAAGAGCAAGGCGAGCAAAGAGACACGCAGGCTGATAGCATCTGGGCCGATGTTCCGGCCCCAACCATCACTGAATCGCCGCAGGAAAGCCTCAAGGCAGAAAGCAGGGCTCCTACTCCAACAAAGCTGTCAAAAGCCAAAACGACCAACAGCTTCTTCTCTGAAGCCTCAACACTCCAATCTTCCAAACGCCACAGTCGCAAAAATACTCCCACGTGGCGAGTACACCGGCATACGTCTGTACACCGAAAGCCCAACCAAAGAGGCTGTCGCACGTTTGTCGTCTCTGCTCTCAAGAATGCCCTTGGTCTTCCTCGCATCCTATCTACGTACGATCCCAACGACCGTCAGACAAGGATTTGGGAGGCTCTCCGTGCTACCTCTGCTGCTCCCACATTTTTCGAAGAAATGACTTTTGGCACGCCTCGCATGACATACCTTGATGGAGGGGTCGGGTTCAACAACCCCTGCGCCGAGGTCGACTACGCGGCCAAGTCAGTTTGGGAAGGTCGTTCGATTGGCGTCATAGTGTCTGTCGGGACAGGGCTCCAAACCATTCCATCGGTCAAAAAAGTTGCAAGTTGGCTTCCATTTGGCCTGGGCACAGACATTGCGCTTGCCTCTGCACTCGGCTCTTTGGCAACCGGCACTGCGCGAGTCGACAATGAAATGCAGCGCATGTACTACGACACGCCCACGCAGTACTACCGCTTCGATGTTGATGGCGGCCTTGCCAACATTTCTCTCGAGCAGTGGATGATGGAAGACGAAATGGCTGCCCTGACTGAGCAGTACATGCGGGACTCGCAACAGATGCGCCGCGCCCAACAATTCGGCGAACTCATCGTCAAGCTCTCCGCTCTACCGTCCAAGTTTGAAATCCCCGCGACCACCTTCCGAGCCGGCATTACAGGCCGGGGCCTCACTGACGGCTCTTTCATCCAAGAAGAGCTCGACTTCAAAACGGGGTTTCCCCTCGGCGTCGTCCCAACGCTGACCGAACGTCAAAATCTCTCCCAGCTCGCCACCACCTCGCCTTCAGGGCAGCGCGGCATCACGCTCGACTCGAACGGCCGCGTCCGTGGCGTGCTACCCGTGGCGCTCGACCTCGACGGCGACGGCCGCCGCGAAGAATGCGCTGTCCTCACTTGCAAGCGCGCAGACAATGTGTGCCTCCGCGCTCTGCGCACTGGCATACCCCCTGGCCGCTACCGCGTCTTATTCATCGTGTCGCTGTTCACACCGCAGCCGGACTGTGCTATTCCATCGGAAATAGTCTTTTCAGTCGGCAAACCCTTGGACGTGGCGACGTTTGCGCATCGCATGGTTGATGTCAAGATTACCCCAGATGTGGTGCCAGTGCTGCTTGGTGTTGACGCAGTGCGCGTGCGTGTTGGTCGGAGCAGGTACGCAGAGATGAATGGCAAGGGATGGATCGAGGTCAATGCGGACGTCGAGGTCGAGGTAGGCTTGGTCGGCGCGCTGGGATTGCTTGTCACCAAGAGCTTCGAAAAGGGTGTCTTCGTGGGTGGATGGAGCTTTGGAGGTGTGAGATTGGAGCCAGTTGGCGCACAGTGAGTGTGTCGAGACGATTTCTTTTTGTCCCTGTTTCGTCCTGCATTTCAGAGATATCCTTTCCCTGCATACGTACAGCAGCCCGGATCTATGATGGGTCTGTTTGGCATTCCTGTTTTTCTGTCCTATATCCCTATCTTGAGGCAGCATTTTCGAAGCATTCTACGCGCAGCACATATACCCTACATCGCAAGTTATTATACAACTTCCTTTCTCCCCCATGTTCGCATTTCCTAAAGATCACACGGGGATGATCACGCAATGGTCTGTGCCTCTGCAACTTGGGATCCGACGGTGGGTTGCGCCGCTTTTCTACTCCACCTCTCGCTTTCTGACCCCGGTCCCGTTGACACGTCTCTCGCTCCCTTGCCGGTTTGGTGTTCGATACTCGCAGCTCAGTCCGATTGGCCAGGCAACGCCGGTCGATCCAAACTCTTTCTGATGGTCTTTTTGTTCCTCTTCCCGGGCTTGGTCCACAAACTTGAACGATCTCACCCGCGGGCCTCGACCAGCTTCTCTTCATCTCTCCTGGTTCTGCATCAACACTCAATCTGACCTCGACCAACCCAGATTCCACCGTGAG